TCCAAAAGACGGTATCTCTCTTCAGATGTCTCAGCCACTAATCCTACCAGGTTACTAAGAGATGACAGAGAAGCTCCCAAGGCCTCTGAGCTCTGCCCTTCAGAAGCAGAATCAAACATTTCTGCTTCAAACTGCAGTGCCTTTCGAAGACCAGACTTCTTTGCTGGAGAACTAAAACCAGAAAATATATCATCAGTAATCTATTAATGCATGCCCCAGCCTTAATCAGTTCACTTTTTCTTTAGGAAATCAACATCTCTGTTCAGAAGAATATTTTATTCACAAGATGATATATCAAGTAAGCAAGTATGTATTGATATACCAAGGTTGTTACAAGCTAACACTAGCACAAGGACTTAATCCTCTTAAATCCTCAGCATTGCCTTGACAACACTGCCAAGCATTCCGGACTGTGGTGAAAGCATCAAACTTTGTACAACAAACTTTGGTATTACGGAAGATCTCTTAAGAGTGGACAAAACCAGATAGCTGCTGCAGCATTTTTTTGCACCACTATGGCACATCAGTTTGCATTTTAAACCAGGAGCTAGCCTGCTGCTTGGTGTGAACAAAGAGAATCACAGAATCAACCAGGTTGGCAAAGACCTTCATATCATCAAGTTCAACCGTTACCCCAGGACTGCCAAGTCCACCATTAACCATGTCACCAAGTGTTTTCTACAGAAACAGAGATTATGAAAAGATTTTACAGGGCCCAGATACAAACATACTTTGTAAATCAAGGATCATTTGTTCCTTCACAAGATATTACTAATTTTATAGTTACATGATTACCTGTACCAAATAGGTATAGACTGGTATATACACCAAACTGGACACACCATTAAGGTGCCACAGAAAGATGACAACCCTGCCCTTTCAGCAACTGACACAAACCAGGAAGATTCCTCTACAAAGACCATCCACTTGAAGTGAGACAAGAAAACTATCCAAACTCACCATCACCTCTGAAAAGGGAATTCTCTTTCCACAGAACTATAATTGCCTAAAAATGGAACTATTCTTTTCAGAGGTTTATTTAATCCTGACCACAGGAGCGTGTCTCTATTGCTCAGTCCTAGTTTGGCCCTGGCCCGCTTCATTCAATTTCCCTATGCCTCACTATTGCAGGTGTTGTTCCCCATGCTGTGATGAACAAAATACTCAGAACAAATATGCAGACTGAAGTAAATGACCTTAAAATGCAGAAGTATCCTTCTGACCAAGTCTAAGATTTGTGACCTTGTAATTCAGACAAACCAGAAAAGACAAGGGAAGCACACTCCCTAATAAGAACATGACTATTTGGCATATACAGATCATTGTTTTCCCCTGTTCACCCCATTTCCTGCCAGGTGGCTCCCAGAGGAGCAGACATACCTTCTACCAGGTATCACACCGCTGCCAGAAGATCTTATTAAAGGTTTTCGAAGAGGAGAATGCTGATAGGTTTGCTCTTCACTGCTTTGCCTTCCTTCATCTTCACCTGCTTTCTTCTCCTTGGATGAAAACTCTCTTTTTGCTGGACCTGAAGTGACATATAAACATGAAGCCAGTTACTTGCCACTTTAAACAACTTTTTCCCCCATGGTAGTGCTGTTGAACAGTTTGCTTCAAAAAAACAAAATATCAAAACAAAACTATTAGAAAATAAAACTAAGAGTCAGTTTTGGACATGTATGCAAAACTTCCAGGACAACTTGAAGCAGTATTGACTAAGTATACCAGTTGCTAGTCAGCTTCACTGTTCTATAAGAAGCATTTTTCTGTAAAACACCACTTAGCAATACCAATAATTGGTCAGCAGATGAAGTCTGACCATTGTTCGAATTCAAGTCCTTTCAGGTCTGGTATACAATCCACAAGCCATAACTCTGTATGGGATATGAAATCCATTTCACTTACAATAAATCACAACTCCCAGTGCTCCGGCTGAAGCATTTATTTCACATACCCAAGCTTAGGCTGAGGCTGGCGTGACTTCTCAAGAGTTATATCTACAAAGGCAAACAGGCACCCCTACAGCTGCTGCTTCAAGATGCTCATTCTCAGGAAGACAACTCCGCAGCTATTCATTGTTCGAAGGCAAGTCTGTGGCTGGTCAAAGCTGTGGTGAACCATTCATCTACTGACAGATGAAGCCTAACCCCAGGCTAGGATCTCCAAACCACACATGTAGCCCTTACAAAACTAAGACTTGACAACTCCAGCATTCACCTAGGGCATGAATAGCCAACTTGACATTTCCTCTTGCTCTTACTCCAATTCAGGTTTTCCACTGCTGAACTCAGTTCTCTGCAGACTGTTCTCTTTTTGGTTCAAGTAGTGTGCAATTGTTGATACACCAAACATCAAGCTCAACACCACAGACACTCACTCAAGAGGTCTCTTTACTTCAGTTCTCAGGAAGCCCACATGCCAGACCAGGCTCTGAAGTGGCCAGCAAGGCATTTGAAACTGGGTTTCCTTACATGCACAAAGATCGTCCTACTTCTAGATAAGAGCACAAAATTAACATCACTCATGTGTTAACAGCCTTAACAGGTTAATAGCCCTAATATTAACACTTAAGAGCCTAATGGTGGCCAACAAGAAATCTGGAGAAGGGCTTCTGACAAAAACCCATAAGGACAGGACGAGGGGGAATGACTTTAAGTTCAAAGAGGGTACATTCTAATTAAACATTAGGATGAAGTTCTTCCCTGTGAGGGTGCTGAGGCACTGGCACAGGGTGCCCAGAGAAGCTGTGACTGCCCCATCTCTGGCAGTGTTCAAGGCCAGGTTGGACACAGGGGCTTGGAGCAACCTGCTCCAGTGGAAGGTGTCCCTGACTGTGGCAGGGGCTGGAGCTGGATGAGCTTTAAGGTCCCTTCCAACAAAAACCAGTCTGGGATCTATTATTATACTTCAGGAGCTTTAGCATTCCTATATAGAGATCATTTTAGCACATGAGGAAACAAGAACGGAGCAGAAGGCACACGATTCATGTATCACCCAATAATCCTATCTGGAAACACAGACTTACTTGTTTTCTTCTTTTGCCAAAACGTTATTATATCTTTGTGCAACTCTTTTGCTTTTTTTCTGGCAAGAGCTGCAGAGGCCTGAAAGAAAACAAAAGCAGAGCATGAAAACTTGAAAACCCATGAGCATCACCCCAAAATAGGCAGTGTAGGTTTTTGCCAGAGAAACATTTATCAGTTTCTGTAACGTTCTGGTTACTGCATTTTAGCCTCTCATTTAAGACCTGGATGCAATTAGCAGGACTGACTTCCACAAAAATTCCACAAAACTTCTGAGAGCTCCAGTAACCTCAGAGCCCAAAGATGTGTTTTTAAGCAGAAAACAGGAACAGACCGTGGAGTTTCTGAACCAGCTCCTCAACACATCTCAGCATTGAGGTAACAGCAGTGCTTCCAGGAAAAAGGTCACTCTACAGAGATTATCCAAGTTCACTTCACCTTTGGTGCTGCTGAGACCCAGCAAGAGCACAGCACCATGTGCAAATCAGGTTTGCTCAAAAAGGGACAACAAACACGAGACCCATTTGGTATTTCAGCTTGATGCTAGCAGGACAGCTAAAACCAGGCAGAACTCTGGTAGTTACCATGCCTTAGGTGCAGTTCAGGGTGCTTCCACCCATCTGTAACACAGTGCTCACAATACAAAGCTTTCTGCCAAGTGCAAACCACACCGCAGTGATGCAGTTCTCACTGCACCCATCCCAAGCACTCAACCTTGAACCTGTTCTTGTGCCAACTGCTTCCAATACTCACGTGATCAAAGAAGTGGATAATGGCCATTTTCTTATTGCGCCTGGTCATGACCCGCCGGACTTTCGCGAACTGGCCGAAGTGCTTCTCCAGCACCGTCCTGTCGTTCAGGTAATCGGGGACATTCTTGCACTGGATGGCGGTCAGGTCGCTGGGCGACAGCCCCCCCAGACCCTCCATGCTCTCGCTGCCCCGAGCCCGGCGGGCAGGGGTCACGGCGGCAGAATCTATTGAGAAGGGAGGCAGCGACCTCAGAGCGCGCGGTGACGCTGGGGAACACGGGGTGACAGGGACCTCCCCCCGTCCCATCCTACCTTCCCGAGGGGGGTCCCGGGCCTCGACCGGCGGCGTCTCTTCTGTGGGTCCCCGCTCGGCCTCGGCGGCTTCCCCGCGGTCGCGCTGGCCGCGGCCCTGGCTACGCAGCATCTCCTTCAGCATGCGGCCGAAGAGCGCTCCGCCGCGGGGCCGGCTCAGCACCACCGCCCGCTTCTCCGGCGGTGCCGCCGCCGCCCGTCCGCTCGCCGCCGCTGCCCGCCGGGGAGAGCGCTCCCGCTCCTCCTTCCGCTTCAGGCCCTTGGATACCGGCTCGCCTGGCTCCTCAAACAGCGGCCGCGGGCCTTTCTCCTCCTGGCGGCCCAGCGCGGCGGCGGGACGCGAGAAGGAGAAGGATCCCCCCGCCGTCACCTCCGGGCTCGCCTCGGGCGCGAAGCCGAAGGGCGGCGAGAAAGTGAAGGCAGCAGCAGGGCCCTTCTCCGCCTCGCTGCCAGTCAGCGGCTTGAAGGCGGCGGCGCTCTCGGGCGCCTTGAAGCGGAACTCTGGCGCCGCGAAGGCCCCGCCGCCACCCGGCGGCTCGCTCGGCCCCGGGAAGCTGCCCAGGTTGGTGGGCGGCTTGAAGCTGAACCCCGCGTTCCCCGCCGGGGCACTGCCGCTGCCCGCCGCCGTGAAGGCCGGCGCCTGGCCTAGCCCGATGGGCGGCCCGAAGGCAGAGGGCCCTGTGGTGAAGGGGAGGCCCGAGGCCGCACCGGCCTGCCCGAAAACGGCGGCCTGCCCGAAGCGCAGGGGCGGCGGAAAGGCGGGCGGCCCGCGGAAAGGGCCCCCGGCATTCATGGCGGCGAGCGGGCAGCCGGTTCTCCTCAGCGGGCGGGGTACCGCCGGCGGGGCGGGACGGAACGGGGCGGGAAGGAAGGAAGGGGCGGGTAGGGTCGTGCTGCCACCGCGGTGGCCATCATGAGCGTGGCGCTGCGGAACGCCCAGCGGGCCGTGCCGGTGCGCCGTGCCCCGCTCCGCCGCGCAGTGTGCGCCCTGCGGGCCGCGCTGGGCGCCTCCCGCTTCGATGTGGGGTTGGTGTGCGCCGGCAACCGGCTGATGAAGCGTCTGAACGGCGCGTACCGGCATTGTCCGGAGCCCACCGACGTCCTCTCCTTCCCCTTCCACCGGGTGGCGCCGGGGGAGCTGCCGCGGCCGCGCTGCCGCGACGAGTACAACTTGGGGGATATCTTCCTGGGGGTAGAGTACATCCATCAGCAGTGCCGCGACACCGGGGAGGACTTCGACAGTGTCCTGGCGGTGAGTACCTCCGCGGGCAGCGGGGCCGCCGGGCCTCCCGCTGCGGACAAGGGCAGCGTGCGGTGTCCCATAGGGATAGGGTAGCGGCTGCCGCTTTGCTAGCCCGGCCCGGCTGAATAAGGAGGTTTGCCCTTGGAAGGCTGACGCTGTGTTTTAAAGCTTACTTAACTGCGGGAGGACACTGCCTGGGCTTTGTCCTTCTGCAGGGCAGAGTACCGGCTTTTCCCTGCTGCAAGTAATGGCAAAATGGGAAATGATGGGGTACGGGGCTAATCCTGGTTATTTCTCCTACCACGGCGCTGTGCGGTGTGCGCAAGGGAGCTGACAGCGTTGGGGTGAAGTTTCATAATATCACAGAATGGTTTGGGATGAAGGGACCTTAAAGCTCATGCAGTTCCAACCCCCTGCCACGGGCAGGGACACCTTCCACTAGAGCAGGGTGCTCCAAGCCCCTTTCCAACACATCCTTTATTCTCATGTCTCTTTGCACAGGTGACGGCAGCCCACGGACTGTGCCATTTGCTTGGCTACCAGCACAACACAGAAGCCGAGTGGCAACAGGTATGGTGATGCCCGGCACACGGCACCGGTGTGCGGTGTCCGGCTGTGTCTCGTCGTGGAAACCATCCTCCTTTGTGACCGGGAAGCCGCGAGCCCCCGCTCGCCTTGGACGCCGTTAACTCAGAGGCGCTGACCGTGTCTCCTCTCCCGCAGATGTACCAGAAGGAGGCGGAGATCCTGCAAGAGCTGAACCGCCTCACCGGCGCCAGCCTCCGGCCCCTGACCGCGGGCCTCTTCTGAGGGGGCCGCCCCGAGGGGCCGGGCCGCGACCAGGGCCGCCCCGGACGTGGCGTGGCGTGGGGATGGCGGCGCAGGGTCCCGGATGCCGCCTCCCGCTGCCGCTGCTGGCCCTGGCCGTGCTCGTCCTTTCTCCGCCCGCCGCCGCGCAGCCACCCCCCGACGCTTTCCGCGCCGGCCACGCCGTGTCCTCGCTGCCCGCCGCCGCTGCCGCGCCGCGCACCAGGTGAAGAGCGGGTTCCCCCCCCCCGGTGACTGCGGGCCTCAGCGGCAGCACACCCGGCCCCGGGGCTCTCCTGTCATCGCAGCCTCCCTGCATGGTGTCCCCAGGGAGCCTCTCTGAGCCGAGGTCTTCCATCGTCTGCTGGTGCTGGGTTTGGTTTCTTAAACATGCTGTAGCCATCACAGGGGCTTTCCTGCGCAGTGTGGCCTCAGTTGCACCCTTTTCCCCTGTCCCTCCTGAATGTGTACTCAAACCTTCACGTTTGGTGCACAGGAGTTCAGCTGAGTAACGTGCCAGTCATTTCACTAGTCATACCACATACCGTGTACCGCTCTGGACAGGCAAGACACCTGAGGGTTGGCTCCTTGAGGCCTCGCATCCTGCCCCTCTGCAGGAAAGGCTTATGATGCTGTGTTCTGTTCTGAGCTCCTCACTACAAGAGAGACATTGAGGAGTTGGAGCATGTCCAGAGAAGGGCAGTGGAGCTGGTGCAGGGCCTGGAGCACAAGTGTGATGGGGAACAGCTGAGTGACCGGGGGGTTCAGTCTGGAGAAGAGAATGCTTAGGGGGACCTTATTGCTCCCTACAACTGCCTGACAGGAGCATGGAGCCAGGAGGGGCTGGGCTCTGCTCCCAAGGAACAAGGGATGGGACAAGAGGAAACAGCCTCAAGCTGCACCAGGGCAGGTTTAGATGGAGCTGAGGAACAATTCCTTCCCCACAGGGTGCTCAGGCATTGGAACAGGCTGCCCAGGGCAGGGCTGGAGTCACCGTCCCTGCAAGTGTTCACACACTGTGTAGATGATGCCCTAGTGTTGGCCTTGGCAATGTTGGGGTAAGGGTTGGACTGGATGAGCTTATTAAAGGTCTTTTCCAACGTGGTTGATTCTGTGATTCTGTGTATCACCTTGATAATGTCCCCTGAGGAGATCCCCAACCACTACAGTGCACACCACTGCCTTCCCCTGCTTTGTCCCCTTCCATCTTCTGAGTACCGCAAACTCATGAAAAAGGAACAGCCTCCACCTTAGTACAGTTGTTTGACATGATCATGGGGTAAAGATTAAAACACATGTACGAGTTTTAAGCTCCTTGAATTAATTACACTGCTTTGTTCTCTGCAGATACCTTTTGTATGATGTGAATCCTCCTGAAGGGTTCAACCTCCGCAGAGATGTATACATTCGCATTGCTTCCCTTTTAAAGACCTTGCTGAAAAGTGAAAACTGGGTGCTAGTTCTGCCTCCCTGGGGACGTCTTTATCATTGGCAGAGCCCCGACATCCTTCAGGTCCGGCTCCCTTGGTCTGAGTTCTTTGATCTCCCAAGCCTCAACAGGAACATTCCTGTCATTGAATATGAGCAATTTCTTGCAGGTAGAGTATGGAATCATACAGTCTACACCTGACTAAATATATAAGGTGGTTTCTTCACAGGTTTATTCTTATATATATACCGTTATATGCGAAATAAAACACCACATCTCTGCCAAGAGCTCTGAAGGGATCTCTGTCCCTTAGCATTTAGAAACCCTGATATTTTTGGGAAAAGGACTTGTACTTGTCGTTTTCTTGGAGGCAATCTTCCCACAGAAGCTACCTGCAGCCCTGAAAACCTCTGTGCTTCATGGTGTGTTTTACCTGGTTTCTAAATGTACATTCCCATGGTGATTTAGTTTTTTGTGGCACATTAAATCACTCATAGCTGAGTGAGAGTAACAGGTTGTGACATCTCCTGGCCCTTTGGGCTTTTCTGGCTCACACAGAGCTGCTTTTTTTTTATAGGAAAAACAGGGGAGTGTAGTCTAATGTTAGCATTTCTAGCAGAGTTTTAACTGCAGGCAGTGCTAATTCATACCTTTATCATGTGTTTTTTCATGCTCACAAATGCTTTGCCTTCTTCTCAGAGTCAGGTGGGCCCTTTATTGAACAGATTTACGTCCTACAAGGCTATGCAGAAGGATGGAAAGAAGGAACATGGGAAGAAAAAATAGATGAAAGGCCATGCATTGATCAGCTTATGTACTCCAAAGACAAACATGAGTACTACAGGTAACATCTAGCTGTCCTTTTAGTCTTCATTTTAGTTGTATTTAGTGAGACATTTGCCTGTGAATCAGTATTTGTGTTCCCTTTCAGGGGATGGTTCTGGGGTTACGAGGAGACACGGGGCCTAAATGTCTCTTGTTTGTCTGTCCAAGGATCTGCCTCTATCGTGGCTCCCATCCTTTTGAAGAACACTTCAGCACAGTGAGTTGCCTTGTGTTACTACTGTAACTTGTGAGTTGCCTTGTGTTACTACTTTTGTATTGTGTGCCCACAGAAACATTACCAGGTGTGAAGAGCAGGGGGAGGTTACAGGCTATGTGTCACTGTTGTATTACTTCATCACTGAGTTACTATAATCCATTAAAGTCATTACAGAGGAATTTACAGTGTAAGAAACACCTAACTGTAAGTTAGGGTAAATGCTGCAGTGCTAAAAGCTAAGAGGAAGTAGCTCCTTCATATTCTTTCTCCAGTAGCTAAATGTCCTTGCCACCTTGTGTTTGTCTTCCCTTCCTTTATCCTTCAATGCTGGGTTAAGAGGGAACGAGCAGAGTGGAATCAGTGTTTCCCAAGCCCACATCTTGGATCACAAGGTGCAGTGCCTGGTCTCCTGTGATGTCCATCCTCGCTAGTGCGAGCTGGCTTTAGAGAAGCAAGCAGCATGCTTTGTCTTTCTGCTGTGAGATGCCACGAGGATAACCAGAGGAAAAGAAGGCAAAGCTCTTACATGAGAGATGGAGCTAACATTATCACAACTGTTGGCTGAACACGTGCTAGGTGTTGGCCATTTGTTGGTTCATTTTGTCCTGCTGTTCCGTTCCTGGATATTTCCTATGGATGCTTTGGTTTGAGACACATTCTCTGATGAGTTCCCCTGTAAAAAGTAATTCTGGCTTGTGAATCTTCCCAGCTCCACCACCTAGTGCAAAAATTCACGAGATGTTTCTGTTGTGATGTTACTGTCTCGTAAGTGCTTGTTAAGCCTTTAATTCCCTATCTCTTTGTATTGGATAAGACCTGTCATTAGGATTTAAGGCTTTTGTTTCTTCATGCTCAAATTCTTCTTTTACTTCATCATCTTTTACTGTTTAGCCTCATGAGTTTATGAACCTTTCTGTTTTCTTCACTTGGACACTTCTGCACTTTTGCACAGTCCTCTGAAGCTGAGTGCAACTGCGGTTAACATTCCTTTGGCCATTGTTGATCCAGTAGGATGTTGAAGAAGAGTACATTTATGGCCCCTGTAAACAGGAGCTCCTCCACTGTGAGATTTTGGGCCATATCTTGCTGCTGCTCAGGACAATGTCAGGAGCTGCTCCCTGCCCAGTTGGTTGATGGACCTCTCATTGAGAATGTCTCAAACTGCAGTTGCTTAGTCACATCCTGCTGTGACACTTGCCTGCCTACCTGGGGATAGGTGAAATCTCTGATGGCTATGGCAACCTGCACCTCTCTGATCTCCCTTATTGCCCTTTTGGACAGACAGTTAGTTGTGTGGTCCTAGTACTATACTGTAGCTCTTCAGGTGTGTAATCTGATTCATCTCCAAACTTCCTGTTAAAATGCAATGCTGCTTCTCCAGCACAATCTAGCCTGTTTTCCAGATTAGCCTTATGTGCAAGTGTTCAGCTGATTATCAGCAGTGATAATCTGAAGTTGTTTGTTATTTGCTTCCTCTGGTTTTAGTAGAAGGTCCAGATAATGACTCTGACCCCCTTCAGCAGAAGCATTTCTCTGTGTGTTTGCTCATTCAGTGTGCTCAGAGCACAGACTGAGCCTACATCCCCTGTGTTCCTGGATACTCAAAACTCTCTTCTGCTTCTTCAGACTTAGTGCAGTTATGTTTCCAGTACATGGTCCTCAACTGTGTGTGTTTATGAAAAGCAAAGACTGTTCATTTTAATATGAGTGCTTAATTGCTAACACATATTTTTGTAGTGTCTGTGTCTTCTTTGATCTGTTGTTTTCCTGTAGGATATTTTATTCCACACATGGAAAACATCATCTCTGGTTTTACTTTTGTGAGCATAATCCGGGCTTCCTCCAAGAAGCTCTCACATGCTCAGAGGTCAAGCATCATCTTACAGGTCGCTTTTCCCCTTTGGATCACTCTCCCTGTTGGCAATCTTATTTCTCCAGCAGCAGCTACTGTGAGGACTATGTGGGGAATTATTAATGCTTGTTCATGTTTAACTGTCAGAATTAAGAGCACCACTTAATAACAAAGAGAGCAGGAACACACAGTGGCACAGTTCCCTTCTCTCCCAGCAAGTAATGGATCACAACGTACTTTACACAGAACAGATTGGCAGCCTATCCCTCATTCCTCTCTGTGCTCCATTTGCAAACAGATCATAGCCTGTGTTTTGTCCTAGCAACTGTATCATCATAATGTACATTCTATTCCTAAGGGCACTGCGCTCAGTTTTACAATTTTTAATAGGTCAGTGATGTTAGACAGAGCTGAAAACCTTCTTCATGACCACTACGGAGGGAGAGATTACTGGAATGTAAGTATTTTCCGGCCAGCTTCTCTAGCCTTTCTGCTTGATTCTAATAACAGTTCAGTTACTGAGATGTGCTTCAGTTTTGCCCTGGGTTTCTTGTCTTCGAGTAACTTGTGTCTTATGTTTCAGCAATGTATGCTAAAGATGGTCTTCAGGCTGCTGTGAATTAATGTAATGCATTAATGTCCTGGTGTCTTGTCCCCAAAGACTCAGTGGCACAGGTCAACACATCTGCAGCAAGAAGAGATCTGCCTTTGTGCAGTTTCTTCCCTAAGCAGCCTCAAGATCGGAGTTTACAAAGGAATTCCTGAAAATGCTTAGTATTGTTTGTTGTAACTGTCCCCATTGGCTTCAAAGGCAAAATTCCCACAGGTTTTAAGGGAATGCTGAGCACTTTGGGAGGCCCCAGCCAAGGGGTCTGTGGTGAAATAATTGCTAAGTGAAAAATGTTAAGGCAAAGTGAAAGGTTCAGCCATGGGAAAACTGAACACAGTGTGGAGTGCTTGATATTTGTAACATTTGTAAGAGAAAGTGACTCTCATGTTACTAATAACTTACATAGACCTCAGTCTTGTAAAATACAAACATAGAATAGAGTCCGCTAGGTTGGAAAAGACCTGTAAGATCATGGAGTCCAACTGCTACCCAAGGACTGCCAAATCCACCACTAAACCATATCCACATCTGACTACTCACTTGGTATATGGCATATCTTGTGAGAAATGGACCAAACAGTAGTTTGCTAATTACTGTTTTTCATTGAAAGTGACTTTGCAAACACAGAAATGCAATCCAGGTATCATTTCAGAGTCTGTAAAAGCAGATGTGAAAGCCATAACACACATTTCTTACCAGTGGCACTATAAATATCATCACCTCAGCGATTTAAACTTGTCTCAAAATTATTTAACAGTAGAAATAGGCTTCTTTCTTTTATTTCAGTTTTTAACAACCTGCATGGGTTTCAGTGTTGGCTTTTTCCTCAGTAACTCTGTGGGTAACATCTGGGGTTCTTTTTAATCTTGCTGAAAGATGTCCTCTTGTCTCAAAGAAGTTTACAAATTGGAACAAGCCAGGTTTGGAGGTGATTGACACAAGCACAGCATTCAAAGATGTTCACTGTCTTTCCCAGTGCACTGCACTTTGCCATGGGTTGTGTACATGTTTGCTGCCCCTTGGGCATACCATGTTCATCATGGCTTGGGTAAGGTACCCAAAGGCTTGACTTGACAGGAGTATTGTGTTGACATCTTACAAAAAGGAGGGAAAATATCTCTGAACTGCAGTGTGAGAGCATTCTGCAGCAGACTCTCTGTGCATTCTCCCTTGATAGAGAATCATAGGATCATAGAATGGATTGGGTTGGAAAGGACCTTAAGATCATTCGATTCCAGCTCCCTGCCATGGGGAGGGACAATGTAAAATATATAAATGTAAGTGTTTTGCCAGAGGATTTGGAATTAGAAAAGCAGGGCTGATCTCTTTAAAGATGCTAGCAGAGCAGGCTTTTTACTTCCATTAAATATCAAGAGGGGCATAGATCTCCAGGTATGAGTGTGATGGATTTAAGAGAAGCCTTAAATTGCTCTGTGTCTTACTGAATGGTCTGGAGAAACCAGTTCAACCACAGTGAGTTTGGCATATTGAGAAATAGCTGCTCTGGGAGAAGGTGAAAAGAGGCTGGCAGGTTCTAGTTCATAGATCATAGACTGGTTTGTGTTGGAAGGGACCTTTAAGATCATGTAGTTCCATCCCCCTGCCATAGATGCTTTTTGTCTTACAGGTGTTTTGCAAGCTGAAGTCTTTGCCCAGCTTGTGTTTCCAAAGGTGAGGTATGTTGCTAGAATGTTTAATTTGGTATATTAGGTTCTGTTGTATAGATAACTGATGTATTGCAGGGTCAGACACATGCTGGTTATAAACATAGTTATGAGTAGGGTTAAACAGTCAAAGCTCAGATGAAAGGTTAGAAATTGCTGCTTGCAGTGCTCTATGCATGTGTCAGAAGTAACTGCATCCTGGAAGCTCTGTGTATGTGAAACTGTCTCCATTTGGTCATTTTCAGCTCTCCCTTTTCCTCACTCCACATCTGCTCTTATTCCAACAGACCCGTCGGAGCATGGTGTTTGCTAAACACCTCCGTGTAGCAGGAGATGAGTTTAGGAGCAAATACCTTCAGTCCACCGATGAGGCAGACAGGACTCACTACAATGAGGACTGGACACAGATGAAGGTAAAATCACAGCAGTCTGTTTCCTATAACAAATGCAATGAGTTGTTTCATTGTGTACTCCTGGCTGTACACTGCAGGGAATACTGGAAGAGCCATGTGAATCTGGCTCTTCCTGCTCAGGTTGAAGTGCCTGTGTGTGTTTTGACTGTACCCTCTTCTCCCTTGTGACATGAATTAATTCAGACTTGCGGGTGCCAGGTTTCTGTTGCTCTCATTTCACTTGTATTTCTGCTTATTGTTTCCCCAACTGCCAGTTGGGGTTTTGGTCAAGGAGGGCAATATTTGCATACAAAGATTTCAAACTCTGGTTTCTCTTGTGTAATGCAGGTCAGCCATTGTCAAAACATCACCATGTGTCCCAAAATACCATGACCCCACATGTCCAAGTTACTTTCTGCAGCTGACGTAATTCAGTGCCACATCCAGAGATTCAGGCCTTTTCAGTGTGAATGAATAGTGGTGGTCTTGAGTCTTAGGGCTTATTGATCTTTCTCTCTTAGGTTAAGATGGGCACAGCTCTAGGTGGGCCATACCTTGGGGTTCATCTCAGAAGGAAAGACTTCATCTGGGGTCACAGAGAAGACGTGCCTTCCCTGCAGGGAGCTGTAAAGAAAATCCACAGCCTCTTGGAGATGCTTAAACTTGAAAGAGTTTTTGTAGCCACTGATGCTGTTGAGGAGGGTAAGCAGGTTATAGTCAGTTCAGGATTGATAACTTTTGACAACAAGGGCTGCAGTTAACTGCTCTGCTTTCATAAATGACTGGAACTTCATGTGCCTCCATCACTGAATGGGGAATTGAACAAGATTGGGCAGCTGCTTCCTTCTAGCTTGAATACCATTCATTTGGTGTTTCCTATAGGAGGTTTGATGGTCTCTACTGTGGGAAATTGGGAATTGAATTTACCTGATCCTCCTTCCAGTTCCTTCCACCTTCTTCCTTAGCATTGCAGACAGTCTTGGATGTGCTGGTGGGAAGGGTCCTCTGAAGTCACCACCCAGCTTTCCCCTTGGTTGCCCCCAGCACCACACTAGGGTGGATCTGGCTATGTGTGGCCAAGGCTTAGACACCCCCCAGGGTGGGCTTCTCCTCCCAGGCCTTATCCCAGGGCCACACCTCCCTCCTCATAATATCTAGGGGTCTGTTTCAATGTGGGATGTTAAAGTAACCCTGTAGGGCATGGCGTTGGCAATAGCAAATCTGAAGCTTGCTGTCAAGAAAGGCCTCTTGGTACAACTACCCTGCAGGACTAGACAGCAAGGCTAGTGTTCTACCCCTTGCAGGCTTCCTTACCCTTGAGAAATGCTCCCCTCCACACCACAGTCCTGCCCCAGTGTGTCCTCTCCCTTTGCAATACTCTTGACATTGGCAAACATTGTAAGGGAGCTTTTGGTTTCTACTGCTTTGTAACTGTCCGCCAAGGGTTTCTCTGAACACATTTTATGTCGGCAGCAAGTTGCTCTGTACAATGCCAAACAGATTTCTATCTTTTCCTTTTCCAGAAGTTGCATTGCTCAAGAAACTGCTGCCTGAGATGGTGACATTTGAACCGTCATGGGAGGAGATGGAGCTCTACAAAGATGGGGGCTTGGCTGTGATTGACCAGTGGATCTGTGCACATGCAAGGTAGCAAATTTGACTTTATTGAGGAACCAAATCTTGGTGTCACAAAACCGAGTTTTGCTTTTGAGCCAGATGTAGTTGTTTACAAATCAAATATGACATGATTTTATATAATTGATTTACACCTATAATAGATATCTAATAGGTCATAGGCTTGCCAAGCTGGTGAAGAAGGCAGTGAGTCCAGAGGAGGCCACAGGGATGCTGCGAGGGCTGGAGCAGCTCTGCTCTGGAGCCAGGCTGAGAGAGCAGGGCTGGGTCAGCCTGGACAAGAGAAGGCTTCTCAAGGGGAGACCTTAGAGCAGCTCCAGTGCCTCAAGGGGCTGCAGGAAACCTGGAGAGGGGCTTTGGACAAGGGCCTGTAAGGACAGGACAAGGGGAATGGCTTTAACCTGCCAGAACAGGGGAGACTGAGATGAGCTCTTAGGCAGAAGCTCTTCCCTGTGAGGGTGCTGAGGCGCTGGCACAGGGTGCCCAGAGAAGCTGTGGCTGCCCCATCCCTGGCAGTGTTCAAGGCCAGGTTGGACACAGGGGCTTGGAGCAACCTGCTCTAGTGGAAGGTGTCCCTGCCTGTGGCATGGGGTCAGGAGAGCTTTAAGGTCCCTTCCAGCACAAAGCAGTCTCTATGATAACAGTTACATTGTGTATATATATATACATCATACATCTGATAATTTAATTTTCATATAATTTCAATAATCATTAAAGTTCATTGGTGTGAAATCAGTCACTTCCATTTTAAAACTGTGCCCCTTCACAAACTCTCTCTGCTTTCTTTTCCCAGGTATTTTATAGGCACCTCCGTTTCCACGTTTTCCTTCCGGATCCATGAGGAAAGGGAGATCTTGGGATTTGATCCAAAAACAACTTACAACCGCTTTTGTGGTGAAAAGGAGAAAAACTGTGAGCAGCCAACTCACTGGAAAATTGTGTACTAAATTACAGAGAATTCCAAGGACTTCAGCACTGGTGAGCACAACAGTATAAGGAAATACCCCAGGGAAATGCCTCCCTTTGACCAAACTACAGCTCTGTCCTCTACCCTCTTCTTGGTGGTTACTTGATCTTTTTGCTTTGAAGAACAAGCAATACTCAACCTTCTTAGGCAGGGATGGGAGCAAGAAAACTGCAGTCAGCCTGGGATCCAGTACTTGGCACAGCCATGAGCAGAGAACCACCCAAGACTGGAAGTGAGACTTGAGAGGTAAAACTTTGTCCTAAAACTAGGTACCAAAGTAAATCACAGTTTTATTTAGAGTTCTGAGGAGGAAGAGGGGCAGTTTTAACTTTTATAAGTTAAAATACTCTGTCTTTATTCTTTGTCCTGTTCAGTGTTTGCCTCTCTGATGGCAAAAAAAAACAAATTCTTTTGTGACCTGCGCTACATGAGCTGCAGGTTGTGTGAAAACTGGCATTCTCTGGGGAAATCTTCCCTCTTCAAGCAGTATTTTGTGAACATTTAAATTGTCTGATGCAGTCAGTGCTTGACAAAAGAAAAGGAGGAGGTGTTTTGACCTGAATACCAACTGCATTAACAGCAGCTTCAGTGGGTCTGTGCTGAAAGGGGCAAAATGAAACAGGCTTGTAGGCTGGTAACAGAAAGGTTCTGTTTATTGTTATGTTTTACCTTCACAAAGGAAACTCTTTCTGCCCATGGTAGTCCTTCCAAGAGCCTGCTCAGTTGCACTGATGCAGATGTCAGCACCCTTTTGGGCTCACCAAGTTGCTCAGGTCAGTGAGGGTGATGGGTTTCTGGGGAGCAGGGAAGTTTCCATGTCAGTCATGTGGGTTGTCCCAGTGATTCAGCAAAGGAATTTTCTGTACTTCTCCCTTGCACAAACTGAAAGGAGTAAACTGAGGACAGTCACAGACAGGGAAGGTCCTTGGGCCTTGAGGAGATGTGCATAAACCATCTGGAACGTGGTAGGTGAGGTTGTGCTCTGATGGAGATGCTGGTTGGTACAGGGTAAGAACCCTCTGCTACACCACCAGCCACAAGTGAAATGCAGCTCCTGTTTGAGGAGGGCTTTGTAAGGGTATCTGTTGCAGCTCTTGCAGTCTCCTGCTCTGTAGAATTGGCTGCTGGGCAGTATTCTGCTTCACGCTGTGCTTCAGGTGGCTCTTTCACTCTGCGGGTCTACAGAGCTCTGTTAAGCAGGATAAACCTTTCTCAAAAGTGGCCTAGGAGACAGGTTTCAAAAGGTGAAGCAGACATTGCTCCTTAAAGTCAGTATTGCCAAATTACCTCACAGCCAGCGGACCCTTTTGCTCTTTCCTCTTGGCTTGAGTGGGAGCACATGGAACAGTCCTGCAGTGGACATCTCCCACATGCTACCAGACAATTCTGTTACTTCCTCCTGTGCAAATGCAGCAGAAGCTGGGCAGACTTCCCAGGCAGTCTCAGCACCAGGCCTCCTGTTCTTACCCCTGTATTCCTTCAAAGCAGTGCCTTTTTCCACCAAGTCAAATGTTCTCCTTTAACCTGTGCACATGGAAAGCAGTGGTGGCATTTTCTGTGTTATGTATACCTCAGTATGACAATAAAAAGCTTTGTAGCATTTTATATGATTTGTCTGTCCATGCTGCTTCTTTCTAACTGTACATTTTGCTGTCTCCTGGCTCCAGCGTATGTGAAACCTGCATAAAATCTGAGTGTCCTGACAAGGCTGCATTAGCAAGCACAGCTTACGTGGCCCTTGGCACTAGGAGGCTGGTAAATCTCAGTGCCCCCCACTGCCAGAAGGATGTAGACAAACAGGAGAGTCCAGAGGAACCTAACCCTAACCCTGCCACAGGGGAACTTTGCACAGCCATGGTAGGAGCCTGCTGTGTTTGGTTTTAATTCAATTGGGCTGCCAGCATCACCTTTCTGTCAGAAGGTGGAGACAGTAGGCTAAGCTGAGATCAGCTGCAGAGCCTTGTCTCCAGATCCATGCTGGACCAGAGCAGCTTCTCCAGCAACCAGTACTGGAGTAGGGTTTGTGGCTATGAGTAAATCAAATCAAAGCAAACGTGGTTGCCTTTGAATGATGATAGTACCTATGGACTAAGTTAACCGGTTGCTGAGAGCTAGATACTGAGGCAGGAGTGATTTTCCCTCTTTTGGTAAACAGTTTCCTGCAGGGAATTGAAGATGTTGTTGAAGAAGCTGTGGCTGCCCCATCCCTGGCAGTGTTCAAGGCCAGGTTGGACACAGGGGCTTGGAGCAACCTGCTCTAGTGGAAGGTGTCCCTGCCCGTGGCAGGGGTTGGAACTCGAGGAGCTTTAAGGTCCCTTCCAACCCAAACCAGGCTGTGAATCACAAGGATTCTGGGCATTTGCAAAGCCTGGAAATGAAATTCAGAGCCCAGGTTTTTTGGTGATAGAATCACAGTTTT